AAATATATTTATTAGCGAATTAAGATAGGTCTGACTCTAACGATGGAATTCTTAATTGGTAGTAGCGAATAATTCAATTGCTGGATGCTGATACTTCAACTTGTCATGAATTCGTTATTCAAAATTGAAGAAACGTTTTTGTTATTTTTGATAAATCTAAGAATGTGACGGCCAAAAATTGGTCAAATAACTCCAAGAATGTCAATTTAGATCGCAAAGTTTGTTAGGGAACTGTTATATAATAAATGAAAAGTATGTAATTTATGCCTTTTAAATTGAGATGTTTATGAGTTTGAGGTACTCCTTGTACTTCTTTTTTTCAATAAATATTACTTTTGCTGTTCAAAAAAAATGTCTATACAAGGGATTAAAATTTGAAGTTAATAATATAATATAAGTTACATTATTAAATGAGTTGATATATATAATTTTATAAAATGTTTACTTTAAAAGCACATGTTAAAAATATAATAAATGTACTTTTTGTAATCAATTTATGTTAAAAAAACAAAAACTAACCTTTAATTTTTTAATTACTTAATTAAATTCAACTATTTAGTTCCAAGACTAAAATTAATATTTGTTTTTATATTTTTTATATATATTTATGACAAAAAAATTTGATTTGTTATATGAATTTAAGACAAAAAGGTACACATAACATAATCTATGTTTTAAGAGTACAAATTAAAAAAAAAAATCCTTTTATAAATCCTAATAAGGTGAAAAAATTAAATATTAAATTATATAAAATTCACCTTTTAATATTTTAAATAAAAAAACTCAGATTATATCATTGTTCTTAAATCTCAGTTTCATAAAATTCATCCATTTTATCATTATTTTGTTATTAAATGCTTCCTTTTCTTTATTTATTACTACTAGGTGTCGTCAAATGCTTGCCAATATGTTAAAACAGCCTTGCAAATTGCATTTAAACTAGACTTGACAATTTTTTACTCAACCCGTTAACTCGCCTATTATCCACCCATTTAAAACGGGTTAGAATTATATATTTATGACCTGTGACTCGTTAATGACCCGTTAAGAGAACCTAACGGGTCACGGGTCAATAACGGGTTGACCCATCGGATTAACCCATTTAAAAATATAAATTTTTTTAATTTATTATTTATTTATTTTGTTTTTCAATTCCCAATCCCACCTAAATCTCTAATAATTGACTAATATTCCCTAATTAACTAATTGATTCTCTTGACTTATCATTTTCTAAAAGTAAAAATAATCCCATTCCACTCATAACTCACCTTCCGACCTTTCTTATTCTTGCTTGTCCTAATACTTTCGAAGATTTTAACTCTTCAAACTTCAAACTCTTCTCATATTTTTTAACTTCTATAGTTCACACAGCTGTTGACTTTCAAGTTTTGACTCCACCTTTTTTCTTTAGTCTTTAACATTATTTCATATTTAAATCTTAGTTTTATCGAGTCACCGTTGTGTCCATTGAGCTTTTTCTTTTTTTTCTCCTATGAGTCCGGCAAGTGCTCTTTTTGTTACCAACTTTTCTCTCTAAATATTTCAAGGTAAGTTGTTTACTTATTTATGCTTTTTAGTTTT